AAATGAAGATTTTTTTTGGAGAGGTGGGGAGAGTGTGTTGGGGGGTGTGGGAGGTGTAGGGATTGGGGGGGGAGGGGAAGTAACGGGGCCTCTCTGGGAATACATTGTCGTTCGCACAATCTAGTTTCCTGTTATTCGCACACTGAAACATCTGCGTGAATAAATAATGAATTTCACCCGAAGAGGTATGTCCAGTGTGATGACAGCGGTACCTTATTGTCCCCAGGGACCACAAGGCGGTAGGGAGACGGCCTTTTGATAAGATGGCCACTCTCCTGGCCTACCTGGGCCCCCCAGAGCATAAGCCTGTGGCAGACACCCACTGGTCCAGTCTGAACCTCACCAGCTCAAAGTTTGAGGAGTTCATGACCAGGTGAGGCCAAACTTTTAGGCTTTCTGAAGTGTGATTTGGATAGTTATGATCCTACACATCTCAAAGATGTGATGTGCATCATTTTTTGATGTATTATATGTTGTATGTATACAGTGAGATGTTTTGACTTGTTAAGCTAATTGGCACTCTGTTCTCTGGCTATTGTATTTCGTTGCAAGCACCATGCAAAGACTGATTCCTTTTAAGAGTGAGTTTACATGGCTAAGAAGGTTCATGTTTGTAGGCATCAAGTCCACGAGAAAGAGGAGTTCAAAGCTCTGAAGACGCTCAACATCTTCTACCAGGCCGGCACGTCCAAGAATGGAAATCCTGTGTTCTACTATGTCGCTCGAAGGCAAGTCGATAGGACCACACGCTCCAGTTCCCCTTTTCAACCGAGCTTGTCGACGTTCATACACATGCCTTCGCGCTCCTTCTCACTGCCTGTCATGACAGCATACGCATCCAAGATAAGAAAAAAGACTGTGGTTTTCACACTTAGTGTGGGTGGAGAGATATTTGAGACGTCTGTGCCTTGCCCGTTTTGGAATGCATTTATTGACACATGATTTGCTTAGTTTGAATTATGTTCATTGAATGATTAATTTTTTTTAAGGCATTTCCCTGTGTTCCACACGATCTCTGAATAATCGGGCAGCCGCTAGTTATTAGGTACCACTCCGGCGCCTTGTGCATTTCTCGTCCTCTCGTTCTCCGTTATCGTTTTCCTCATCTTCTTCCTCTTGTTTTTCGTGTGCTTGTTTTTTCTTTGTCTTGACAGCAGTAGTACCGGAAGTGGATTTGTGGCTGGGTTTCTTGTGTGTACCGCTGTGCCTCTGAGCAAGTGCATTTTCACGCAGAAAGGCAGTTTAATATGAAGCGCATTGTGCAGATTTTCTAGAAAAAACTTAACAACACAAAACAAGAATGAACCATTTTGCTTTAGGTAGGGGGACTGAAAATAGCCACTTTGGTGTTGAAGGCCTGTTTAGTGAAACTCATGTGCAATAAAGTTATAAGATTCCTTGCTGTTTTTGTACAAGGTACGTTGGGGGTGCTTAATCAGAACCAGTGTGTTTATACTTAACCCCCCCCGTGCGATACACGAACGGTCGAGATGCTTTCTCCGCAAGTCGCATTGTACAAAAGGAAGACACAGCTTTTTCATAGGGTGGGGCTATTTTATTGAAACCCCCCCTCATATCAGAAAGATTTCAGCATCACAACTCTCTCCCATCAACTGCATTGGTTACAAATACAGATTGGCGTGCGACAGTAGGCATGGCCAAGAGGGGGGCATAGCAGAGCTCTAAGATGATACAAGCAGTTTCCTTTGGAAGCGCCTTTGCATGAAGCAGGTGTACAAAAGCAGCTCCTTTTCACATTGTGATGCGTACAGGAGGAAGTTTAATTAGAGCAAGACAAGTCAGGGGAGAAACATGCAAATGAAAACAGTGCCGCTGTTCGCCGCGGCTGCTGGCCGCTGTCCCGGGCTCAGAAGGGCGACAGGAGGCGCTGTAGCATCACGGCCGGTCCCAGGGTCAGCAGGAGGTGTCCTGC